TTAAATAGGCTTTCTCCAGGTGGTTCTTACAACACTCACGTTTGAGGAGTGAGAGGTATTTTGGAGGTAGAACCTATAGGAGTCAGTCATTACCTACAGGTATTGATATAAACATTAAAAAAAAAAAAAAAAACAACTTTAGGGATTTGCCAAAGGGACGCCCCAGAATGAGCCTGGGTAAAACCAGTAAAAGCGCGCCGGCCGCCTTCAGAGAATCCATTCACCTTGTTGTTGGCCAGTAGGCCTCGGCTTTGAGCCGGTTTGGGTCTCAGCAACCTACCGGGGTTCAGCTTTCACACCCCTGGGTGGCTGCTGATGGGGGAGATTGTTTAGTAGCGTGGAGGGTGGAGAAGCAATAGGTCAGAGAAAAAGCGTGCCAACTCCTCCTTCTCAGCCTGATGCCCACGTACCCTTCCCTGTCCTCAGAGACCCCGCTGGCCTCCCTTTGGGTTTCCAAGCTCAGTCCCACCCACTAATTACTGTGGTGTTTGCAACAGCTGCACCTGGCAACCCAGCATAACAGTATGCATCTCACTATTTTTTTTAAATATATTTTTTGATTTTTTTTTTTTATAGAGAGGAAGGGAGAGGGATAGAGAGTTAGAAACATCGATGAGAGAGAAACATCTATTAGCTGCCTCCTGCACACCTCCTACTGGGGATGTGCCCACAACCAAGGCACATGCCCTTGACTGCAATCGAACCCAGGACTCTTCAGTCCGCAGGCCGACGCTCTATCCACTGAGCCAAACTGGTTTCGACCTCACTCTTTAATTTGCATATAAATATATAACCCTAGATGTAACACATGAAACATGCTACTAAGTTATCATCCTTTACATTGGCAAGTAAAGTAGATGGACATGGGATACCAGAAATGAGTGGTTTTATTTTTTTTTTTATAAAAAATTGTTTAATAAGGTTTAATTAATCTTCCCAAATTAAGTAAACATTTTGGCTTTAATGAATAATCTCTTTGTTTTTTGTCCCTCAATTTTCAAAAGCAATTCTGAATATATAAAGAGAAAAATCATTTTTGAAAATGTGAGACCATTCTGATTCTTTATTTTCTAACTTCTGATTTACATCTTTAGGTTAAATCATAGTAACATGTTGGATGTTTGGAAACAGTTTACACATCATTTTTTAATCCTTTGGATCACTGAAAGGAATGATTCAAGATCATAGTAGAGACAGATAATAATGACCGAGGAGAAGAAACACCGAAAAGACACAAATAGAAAAATTCCCAGTAAGAAGGCTGCTTACCTTTTTAAAAACTAGGAACAATGAACATTAAGATTATATTGAACATCATCCTTGTAAAATTTGGAAATTAGCATTATAAATTATTTATTAATGAAGGTTTAATTTCTCGTGCCGAAGCTGGCAGCCTGGGTAGCAAGACAGGGCGACATTTACAGGCCGGACAGCTGTAGGTAATCCCGCTAGAAGTCTGAGAGATTAGGTTCTCTGTTCTTCCCCGAGTCGGTGTCACAGGCCTGTGGAGTGCCGGGCGGTGCAGGGCAGCCCAAGAGTAGAAGCTCATTAAATAGCAGCTGAAACATGGAAAACACGCAATTGTTTGTGTGGCTATGACTCAAAGTGCCCACTAGAGGGCACAAAACTTTAAGATAGATTTTTGGTGGTTTTTTTTTTTTTTACAGGTCAAAAACTGGATACATTATAATTATGGGAATAATAAGTTTAAAAAAGATAACTTTGATTGCACACTTTCTAAGGGCCAGGAACTCTCCCAAACACCTTATATTCATAACTTTATTTACGGTATTCTCTTCACCTAGCCACATCATAAGTTATAATTAGGCAAATTGTTAGTTAACTTTTTAAAAATTTTTTAAATGTGATTAAACCAAAATGTATTTATATTTGACCAGAGAACTTGAAATTTATTTTTCCAATCATCTTTTGCTTATGTTGTTAATTAATTGTATTCGTTAACTCGCTTTTCATTTCTTTCCCTCCACTGGACTGGAAGTTCTATGAGGATAATGTGGGTTTAATGTATTGTTCTGTCCTGGTTAGTGAGTCTGAATCATTGTCAAAACTAAGTAAGATTGTCCCTTTAGAAGAACCTGTACTTTTATTTAGTTGCTGATTGTGATTATTAAAGGTATGGTAATTATTTAGACCAATTTGTGAATTTACATTTAAAATATGCTCATATAGTGCTGACCTCATTCCAAGCACAGTTCTAAGGACATTGCTTTCTTACAAAGGTGCTGTTATTAGCACCATTTAACAGATGTGGAAACTGAGGCACATAACCCTCACCCAAGGATATTTTCCCACTGATTTGTTTTTAGAGAGAGAGTGGGAGAGTGGGATAGAGACGTGGGGAGAGAAACATTGATGTGAGAAAGACACATCGATTGGTTGCCTATCGCACACGCCCTGACTGGGGTGGGAGATGGGGCTGCAATCAAGGTTCGAGCCTCTGACTGAAATTCAGTCCGTGGGCTGATGCTCTACCCACTGAGCCAAACAGGCCAGGGACAGAGCTGCTTCTTATGTTAGGAAACATGCCCAAGACTTCACAACCAGTAAATGGCACAGCCAGGATTCAAAAACTCAGGTGTCCTGGCTGCAGACTCCAGACACATAATCACTACTCTGCCTCTAAAATTCACTTAATGATTTGATACAATTGCTACATAAAGCAGTAACTGCATTGGTCATAACTCTTCTGAGCCACAGCAAACTATTTTAGGGAAACTTTTATGCCTTTTTCACAATGGACTTCCAATGCCTGGTGAAAAATTATAAAGTATGAGCTCCTTTCCAAAAAAAAACATCTGAACCAACATACACGCAAAGGCCAGCGTCCTTGGCTCATCCACAGAGAAGCCGAAGCATGAGACGCAGAAATCTTTTAATACCATCAGGGAAGTTTTGCAATTCAAACAACACACAAAACCACATGACTCGGCAATCCCACGTCTAGGCAGAGCACCTGAAGACAGGTATTCCAACAAAAACACTCCGAGGAGCAGCACGAGCCACAAAGATGCGATTCACGGCAGCCAAGACGTCCATCAACAGATGAATGGATACACAGAAGCCATTGCCCCGCAGTGGAACATTGTCCGCTGTCAAAGGGATGTAGTGCTGATCTGTGCCACAGAGAAGAACTCTGAAAACACCAGACTGAGTGAAAGAAGTCAGGCGAAACGAGGTCTCAGAGGAGGCAGATCCATAGAAACAGAAAGCAGATCAGTGATGGGGAGGTGCTGGAAGCAGAGGGGCTGAGGGACGGCTAAAGATGGGGGTAACGTGAGCTTTCCCTGGAGTCTCCGTGGAACGCACTTGGAATGAAAGCCCTCCACTAGGACAGGGCTCACCTGTCCCACCCGCACTGTGCGCCTCGCTCTCCCGGCCTCCCCTTCTCAGACCTCTCCCTCACGCTGCCTTCTTCCAGCCCCCGAGTCCCCTCTCCATGGCTGGCCTTAAGCCACAGCCTCCAGGCAGTGATTCTCTCCGGGGTAGTGCACTGGTGACAAGTGGCATTCAAGTCTCATACAACAGTGGATTTTCCCCCCATGTTTTATTTTTATTTTTATTATTGATTTCAGAGAGGAAGAGAGAGGGGGAGAGGGAGAGAGAAAGAGAGAGATCAATGATGATAGAGAATCATCTACTGGCTGCTTCCTGCACCAACCCCCCCCCCCCCAACTGAGAATCAAGCCTGCAACCCGGGAATGTGCCCTGATGGGGAATCAAACAGTGACCTCCTGGGTCCTAGGTTGACGCTCAGCCGCTGCAATAGCTGGGTCTTTTGGGCGGGAGCGAATGAGGATTCTCTGGGTGTCATTTCCTTTACTCTCAGCTCCAGCGAGAGCCGGTGGGCCTGTGGGCAGGCGTGTTAGATGAAGCACAGGCTTGTCTCTCAGAAGATGGAAGGGACTCCCCTGCCCAAACGAAGCCAGGGAGGTCAGAGCTGGTGCATGGGACGGGACGGGATGTCTGAGGCCCAGAGAGCACTCGGCGGGAGCAGGTCCCTGGCTGTGGGCAAGGTAAACAGTGCCGGGCTGGGCTGGGGAATGCTGAGGCCGCAGAGGCTGCACCCAGTGTCTGCCAGTCAGCGGGTGTGTGTGTGTGGGGGGGGCGGCTGGAGGCTGGGCTCCCCGGGCTCTGTCCCCCGGAGAGAGGACGGCGTGAGGCTGGGCTTGCTCCTGACACGTGTGCTGGGCTGCGGGGACCTCTCAGGGACCCCTCAGCCACTGGATTCTCGGGGCTAGGCTTCAGCAGGCGCGTTCCCGGGGCCTCAGCTGTGCGAGGCCGCACAGGGTGTTCCTTTTCCAAAGCAACCCAACCCACCCGACAGGTTTGCTGATGATCCCCAGGCTCCAGCCAAGAGGTGTGAGCAGCAGGCACCTGGCACTCCCGCCTGGCTGCAGCCCCGCGGGCAACTGGAGCCCTCGCCTGGCCCTCGGCAGTGCAGCCCAAACCTCAGGACTGAGCGGGAGGGACTGGAGCACGGAGTCCCTTGGAGCCCCAGAAGGACTCGGAGCAGCTGTGCCTGCCTTTCTCTTTACCCCCCTTCTCCTTCCCTCACCCCTGAACCCCTCTATCTCCCCCCACCCCCACTCATTCCTTTCTCCTTCCTCCTCCTGCTGCCCCGACCGACCTCCCTATCTTCTCATCCATCAACCACCCCCACTATCATCTTCTTCCTCCCTTCTCTCCTTCCCTCTTTCCATTCTCCTTCCTCCCCTGTTCCTGATTCTCTTTCTGCGACTTATCCTTCCCCTCACACGCCTACCTCCTTCCCCCCTCACCCCTCCACCCCACCCTTAGATGTACTCCTTCCTCTACCTTTTCTCTACATTTCCCTCCATTTGGCTTCTTTTCCCTTACCTCCCCCCCCCCCCCCAATAGCTCCCTCTTCCTCCCTTTCCTCCCTGTCGGTCATCTTTCCCCTCCCTGAATCTTTCCAGCGTCCCTTCCTCCCCTCCCCGCTTCTCCCCACCACCCCCCACCCCTCCCGCTCCTCCCCGCCCAGCCCAGCCGTGTTTGCTTTCCTCCCGGATCCAGATGAAAGGGCTGCCCTGCCCGGGCCTGTGCCCGGCCCACTTCTGGCTGCTGGGGTCCTGCTTCATGGCTGAGGGCGCGGGGGCGCGGGCCCTGGGGCAGGGCCCCCCGCTCAGCGTCCAGCTCCTGCGGGCCCGGTACCAGGACCTGAGGCAGCAGCAGAGAAACCAGGCATACTGCGTGGTGCTCCCCAGAGGTAGGGGGAGCCGCAGGGAGTGGAGGAGGGCCTGGCTGGGGGTGGGGGTGGGGGGGTCCTCACCCTCCTGCTGGCCCACCCTCCTGATGGGGCAGAGCGGGAAAGCCGGAACCTGGAGTCAGAGCCAAATAGAGAGGCTGGTTGGTGCAGGCAGCTCTGAGGGCCCCGTGCCCCTGCCCCCTGAACCAGGGGCCTCACCCAGGCCCCCAGCCGGCAGCCTGCTGTGTCCTGGCCTCTGCTCTCCCGTCCATTACCATCTTGCTGGACGGTCTGCCCTGTGCACAGGCTTGGCCCCTGCAAAGCCAGGCGGGGAGACGGGCGCTCTGCCTCCTGGCTGGCTCTCACCAAGCGCCTCTTGCAAACCCAAGGAACTGGCTGCGGGGAGAGGAGTGGGGCATCGCCAACAGCCCGGGCGCTGGCCAGGGGACGCATGGGGCTCGGGTCCCAGGAGGAGCCCTGGCTGGGGAGCCGGCTCATGGCAGCCTCAGCGGCAGCCAGGGAGGTGCAGGGGGACACAGCACCCCCTCCTCCAGGGTGAGGCCTGCTGCCGGGGGAAGGCAGGTTTCGTGGCCGGAGGAAGGGAGGAACAAGGCACAGAAATCCTGTGATGGAGACCCTCGCCTTTCACCTCTCCCAGGGGAACGGGTCCCAGGAGGGGGGCGGTGCTGCCAGGTCAGGCTGTGCCCGGGCGTGGCAGTGGCCAGTGGCACCGTCAGGATGGGGCCCTGAGGAAGCATCGCGTCCCCACCTCCTCTGTTCGCAGAGCAGCCCAGGGCACTTGGGTTATGTGTGAAGGTTTCCATGTTGTAAAGCTGTCAGTCCCGGAGCACACGGCCCGGAAGTTAAGAAAATGGCACCTCGGCTATGAAGCAGGACCAGTCTACATAATTCCCACCCAAGTTCGTGTGTGCGGGACAGAGACTTTGCAGACGCGGCCACATGGGCCCTGGTTTCTCCTGGGTTCCCAGGCCTGGAGCTCAGGGGCCGCCTCTGACCCTGCCCCCCAGCGCTCTCCACTCCCACCAGACACTGTCACCTACTAGGCCTCCTGCAGGCGACAAAGGCCAGAATGCACCAGGGAGCTGCCCTGACATTCTGGAGGTTCTCCCCAACCTCCCCACCACCCCCCAACACACACACAAACACACACAGGCTGACCACAGCTCTGCTTTCTGTAGGAACATGCCTTGCACACATCCATCCCCACAGCCAAGGGCTGACAGTAATGATCACGTTCCACATGTAACAAGATGCCCCTGAGGGAGAGGCTTTGTTCTGCATGCTCACCCCAAAGCTGTTCAGGGAAGCAGTGGTGCTGCCAGTGTGCCCCCAGAGCAGAGTCTGTGGGACGGGAAGAGAAGGGCCAGACCCCCAAAAGGAGCTGCTTGGACACAGTGCCTCCCTCCTCGCCTTGGGTGGGAAACCCCTCGTCAGAATCCCAGGTCACACGGCCGGGAAGTGAAGACTTTCCCATGGTGCCGTATGTGAATCCTGACGGGGTGACCACGTGTGTGTCTTCTCTCCTTGACATTCGTTCAGCCAGAAATGCTAGTTCCTTAGCTCCTCCTTGGCTCACTCCCCCTGATGCAGGAAAAAACTGAGGCCTAGTCGGGCTGGTGTGGCTCAGTGGTTGAGCATCAACCCAGGAACTAAGAGGTTGCCAGTTCCATTCCTGGTCAGGGCACATGCCCAGTTAGATTGAGACTTGACCCCCAGTGGAAGGGCATGCAGGAAGCAGGCAGATCAATGATGTTACTCTCTCACTGATGTTTCTATCTCTCTATCCCTTTCCCTTCCTCTCTCTAAAAATCAATAAAAACTTATTTTTTAAAAACTGAGGCCTGTTATTCAATTCTATTGTGCTTGCGTCTTTCTCCATATCATTGGTCCCCTCCCTACATTTTATTATATTCATTGGCTTATTGTTTTTCTACCCTACTAGAGCACATGAAGGTATGTGTTCATTGCTGTATTACCAGGACCTAATATAAATAATGCCTGGCATATAAGTGCTCAATGAATATTTGTTGAAAGAATTAATAATTGAGAGAAAGAGAGAGAGAAGAGGAGAGAGAGGAGAGAGAGAGAGAGGAAGAGAGAGGAGAGAGAGAGAGAGAGACAGCCAGCTTGCATGGGTGTATGTGAGTGGGTGAGGTTAGGAGTGCACACGTGTGGTCATGTGTGTGTCCACGTACATGTGTGCACACACACGCCACATCCTGGGCCCCTGGCCTCTGTGATATTGGGGGCGCTGCCCTCTTTAGCGGAGCTGCCCAGGTCCCTCCCGGCGGTAACCCTGCTTGTGCCTTGCTTCCTCAGGAGGGAACACGCCTGCTGCTGCCGAGTCCATGGTCAGTGCCGTGTGGATTAACAAGGAGCGGAGGCACTCGCTGTCCCCGGACCAGGCGGACCCCGCGGCCGCGGTGCTGCTGGAGGAGGCGGACGCCGGCTGGCTGCAGGTGCCCCGGTCTCCGTGGCACACACACCTGCAGATGCACTGCTCCGTCCAGAGCCCCCACCAGGACGCCAGCCAAGGCCTGTTCCCGGGGGCTGAGCTGCGGCTTCCTCAGGACAGAGGCCCGGGCTTGTTGGAAAACAGGCAGGGGACTCCGCAAGAGGCCACGACCCCAGGGGCCGCCCAGCAGGAACATCGGGTGGACGATCCCCAGACCCAGACCCTGTGCTCCGGCCTACCCAATGGCCTTCCGGGCCCTTCTCCCACAAGGAACCCACAACGGCCTGGGAAAGTAGCACACTACCCCTTCCCCCAGAGGAAGGCTCCCAGGATCTCCCAGGCTGCCCGGAACCTGGGCTTGTACGGCCCACCCTGAAGCTCTGTCCTCAGCCACATGCCCAGCCTGAGGCCAGCTCTGGTCTCATCACAGGACCACAGGCAGAGCCCCGAGGAGGACCCCTAGCGATGAGCAGAGCTGGCCTAACTCCCTGTAGGGATTGTGGGAAATGGACCCCGCAGTGGGCACGTGGTCTTGGCCTTCAGAAAAGAAGAGCTTGTCCGGAGCAGATTGCTCACAGCCCCGGAGGAAAGAGCCTGTCCGATCCGCGCAGCCGCTCTGCTCACACAAGAAGACACTGCTTCATGGCCACGGAGCCCAGAGGCCCATTCCCTATGGAGGCCCAGGAGGACGCCGGCTCAGTCCCTAGAACAGGGAACCAGCTTGAAACATAGAACAGGGACCCTGGCCAACGGAATGCCATAGCAGTGCCCGGGAGTCAACGAACGTGGAGAATCTTGTTTCCCACATCTTCTGGGGAAGATGGGCTCTGAGAATTGGCGTTCTCTGGTTACTCTGCCTGGAGGCCAGCTCACTTCCAAGTCACTGCATTCACTTTAGTGACCACACCATTTCAGCTTGAGCTTCCTGAAGTGTGGTCACCCTGGGTAAGGAGGGGCGGAACGATGCCGATGCCGCCGGTACCGCCTTGTGAGCCTGAGGGTCTTTAGGAAGGGTTGCTCCCCTCTCACCTCTCACCTCTCACCGAGACTGCACATTCCAGTGTCATCACAGACTTACTTCCTCCTGTCCTTCCCTTCCTCGCTCCCTTTTCCCCTCCTTTTTCCCTTCCTTTTTTTCCTTCCTTCCTTCCTTCCTTCCTTCCTTCCTTCCTTCCTTCCTTCCTTCCTTCCTTCCTTCCTTCCTTCCTTCCCTTCTACTTTTCTAGCTGTCTGTCATCTCTCTTTTCCTCCCTATCTCTCTCCTCTCTCCAATTGCATTAGTAAACATAGTAAACATTATTTGCAATCTATAGTAAGAGCAGCCTGAGCAGAAGCAGCCAAAGAAATGCTCCTGCTTAGAAAACGTGTGGATCACTCAGCCTTCTGGGACCATGCAGCTTGAGAGCCACATGCTCTCTTTGGCTCCTTGAGTGTGGCTCTTCCACAAAATACCACGGCCTGGGCCAGTCTATTTTGAAGAAGTGGCGTTAGAAGAAGTTTAAGTTTAAAAACATTTGGCTCTCAAAAGAAATGTCAATCATTATCCTGTTGATATTTGGCTCTGTTGACTAATGAGTTTGCCGACCACTGTTCTGGGATATTTTAAACCTAAGAGAAAGCACAGCAGGTGTTACTTGGGTGTGATGGGGAATAAAGTATGACTTTCCTGGTTAATGTTTGACTCAGTAATGATATTTAAACACATCTAAGGTGCCTTTTCCTCATATAAATCCCCTCTCTGTAAAGTTTCACCCCTCCTCTCCCACACACCCCAGGGCACTGTCTTGCCAATCCCCTTCCAGGATTGTCATTACAAGTAAAAAAAACATGTACCTGCTCCTTGGACCATCCAGAAACTCACTCCAATTTGGAGATTCCTTTTGTAATTAACTAATAAGAGCTTGTTGTTAATTTTTTTTCATTGTTAATTTTGTAATAGTCTAATGAAAAATTTCTGAAAAACACTGTGTCCTTTGATTTTGTTTTTAAGAGGATTCTCCACCAAACCCTCCTTATTATAATGTATTGGTCAGGATAGGCTGTGCTTTGCTGCAGAAACAACCCCCCAAATCTCACAACAGAATCTTTTTTTCTCACTCATGAAGTCTACTGCAGATTTGGGCAAACTCCCAGGCCAGGGCAGCTTTCCTGCATCTATTTACCAGCAATTCAGGCTGATTTAACCTTGTGACACCACCTTATCAATACTGGCAGGAGAAGAAGCTATGCATTGAGTCATGTGCTGACGCTCATCACTTTTACTCCCATTTCATCGTCCAAAGCAAGTCAATGGTCATAGCTCAATGTGAAGGATATGAGAAAGTACAATCATCCCATATGCCAAAAAAGGAGAGAAGAAATGAAAGCATGGGAGAGCAGCACTAATGGCTAATACAGATAGATAGGGGCCAAGCCATAGCACCATACTAGGTTTCATTCTGAATGTAATAAATAGCCATTAAGGGATTTACATATAAGACTAAATTTATTTCGATTTGCAAATTAACCAGATTACTCCCGTTGTTCTAAGGAGGATGAATTGAGAATCACATGAAGAGGCAATGTCATGGGAAAGTGGGCCATAGCAAGGTCAAGTGGGGAAGATGCTGTCAGTTCAAGCAAGAGTGGAAGCAGGGAGACGGAGAGAATGTGAGCACATCTGATACATACTGTGGAGATAGAACCAATAGGATTTACTGAAGGAAAAACCCCAAGTTCCGTTTGGAAAAGACTGAGTTTGAGATGCTCACGAGGCACACAAATCAAGACATCAAATAGATATGGGGGGAAATGAGAATAGGTTCTGGGCTGGACTTAGGAATTTAGGTGTCATGAGTATGTCCCTTCTTTTCCAAAGAAGGAGAAAAGATAGATCAACCGAAAGACTTGTGTACATGCATATAAGAATAACCAATGGATGCAAAACATTAGGGGGTGAGGGCATGTATGGGAGTGGTGTGGGTGGCAATGGTAAGATATGTACACATATAATACCTTAATAATAAAAAAACAAAAAAGAATGAGAAAAGAGGAGGTCACCTATGCAGTGTGTAGAGAGAAGACAGGGTTCAAAATGAGTCTGGAAAACTCCCAATTTACTTAGTTGAAGAATCCCCAAGGATGTCCCCAATCCTTACTTAGGAGAGGAGGGGTAGATGGAGGAGGAGGTAGCAGAGGGCACTGAAGAGGAGTGACAGGAGGAAGAAGCACCAGGTGACCTGGAGTCACAGATAGCAAGAGGCAGAGACTGTGTGGTGTGACCTGCTGCACAGCCACTCCCCTAATGGCAGACCACCCACCAAGTCCCATTATCTAGAGTCCGCCTTCATTAGTCTGGAGTCACTTTTTGAGTGTGTGTGTGTGTGTGTGTGTGTGTGTTGTTGTTGTTGTTGTTGTTATTTTATTTTATTGTTGTTAGTGCTCATGCGAGGATATTTTTCCATTGATTTTTGGAGAGAGTGGGAGAGGAAGAGACAGAGAGAAACATCGATGAGAGAGACACATCGATTGGTTGCCTCCCGTAGGTTGGGCACAGGGATCGAGCCTGCAACTGAGGTATGAACTGGGGACCCTTCCATCTGCAGGCCCATGCTCTATCCACCGAGCCAAACCAGTTAGTGCCTGATGTGTTTTCAAGAGGCCAGAGTCCAAGAGGAAATGCCACCGATGAGGGAAAACTTCTCAGCCAAGGGCAGGCCAGCTAGGTGTTAGCAAGTTCAGGTTCAAGCTCACTGGGAGTGCCTTGGCCCTGTGGGCCTGCCTTTCCCCAGCACCGGTCCTCCCATGCCTGGGTGGGCTGTGGATTGAGGGTCCCCCGTGGCAGAGCTGGAAGGGAGAGGAGGCAAGGGGAAGCTAGTGTGCAATCCTTCCATGCCCGTCCCACAAGGCTGCTCATGCCAAGAGCATGAGCCCGGAACCACCTCTCTGTTTCGCAATCACAAGCTTTTACCAACCCTTGGGCTGTCAAACCTGCTGGGACAAAGGGCTCAGGTTACATCCGGACTCTCACTCTGCTGAAGACTCTCTCCTGCTGGCCAGGACTGGAGCTAAGGCTCTCTCCCCTTAGTCCTAGCAGGTTTTCCTAAACCAGAGAGCAATCAGCTCACACCATAAAACCTGCACCAGGCAGATTACATTCCTTAGAGTCACCCCTCAGAGCCTACCCCCCACCTCCTCCTCACCACCCCCAACCTTCCAGCCCACAGTGAAGGCGCCCCCGCGTGGCTGCCAGGAGACTCGCTTCCATCTTCCCCGGCTTGGAGGCGGGGGCATCTGGGCTTCAGTCTCAGCACCGCCTTTGTGTAGACATGACCTTGGCTGAGTCACTGAGCAAGTGGAGCCAGCCCCATCTGTAAGGGGAGGCGGTAAGAGGCTCCGTGGGGTGAGGATGCGGACCTGAGAGTCGGTCTCATCTGCTGCCAATTCTGCTCCGTCCCGCTAGGGGGCGGGCTCCCGGCAAGAAGGCTCCGCCTGATTTCCTAACTTTCAGTCCCTCCTCTCCTTCCCTAAAGGGCTTTCAATCCCGTTCACGTGAAACCATCTTAAAAGGTCTATCTCATCATATTGAAGTCAGAGCTTTCCCCTCTCCTCCTCCCCTCCCCCGCCCTGGCCACCCCTCTCCCAGCACATTTGTGTGTGTATACCTTTAAGGCCAGAGGGAGGGGCGTGGTCTTGCAGCTCAGACCCCGCCCCCCTCTGTGCCCGCAGCTTTGGGCGCGAGGGTAGGAGGACAGCGAGGACACAGGCTCTTCCTGGGAGCGACTGTGTGTGTGCACTTTGGGCTCCTGCCCCCGGGCTGTTTGCACTGACCTGGCTCCCGGGCTGCAGGGCTGGTGTGGACACGTGGCGGCCCCACCGGCCTCTGCAGGGGTGGTACCCAACCCAGCAGCTCCCCTGGCACTGGGGTCCCTGTGAGGAGGTTACACCTGCACCGGCTTCCCCCCTCCTCCCTCCCGTCCCATCAGAGGTCCGCTTCTCTTTACTAGCGGCCCCGGTCTCATCTACCCACAGCTGGCCCAAATATTTGAATCCATTTGTGCTAAAATAAAGTTTCTTAACATTCCTCAATATGCCTCCTTTTATTTTATTTATTTTATTATTATTATTTTTTTTTACAGAGAGAAAGAGAGAGAGATAGAGAGTTAGAAACGTTGATGAGAGAGAAACATCGACCAGCTGCCTCCTGCATGCCCCCTACCGGGGATGTACCCGCAACCAATGTACATGCCCTTGACCGGAATCGAACCTGGGACCTTTCAGGCCCTTTCAGTCCGCAGGCCGATGCTCTATCCACTGAGCCAAACCGGTTTTGGCTCCGTTGATCTTTCAACACTACTAAGTTAAACTCCCTTCTTCTGACTCCCTCCCTCCCTGAGTTCTATGTCACCATAGCTGGGACAACCCTTTCAAATGCAGGGTCGGGCAAAGGCACGTTTCTAGTGGTACGTATGGAAAGTAATACATGAATTAATAACCGGTGATACGAGAATATGAACCCTGTGTTTCACATACTCACAGGCGTATTTCTGAATACGCACAACTGTGTGTTGCCCGCCCTGTATTTCTGAAGTGAAACAGCCGGGGGTGAAATGGATGCTTCTCTGTGGAGGCCAGAGGGGACCGTGATGTTTTGTAAATAAATACCCGTGGGTGTGAGCGGGACTGTGTAATAGAGCTGACAGGCCGTGGGGGAGGGAGAAGGGGAGTGGAAGGGGAAGAGGGGAGGGGGAGGGAAGGGGAAGAGGGCCCCTGGCAGGGATGGCAAGCTCAGGGACTGAGACTCACCTCGCAGGATGGTCTGATCACGGATTCCTAACTGGGCGGGCCATGCGGGTGCGTCACGTCCCAGGCCTGTAGCCTCCTTCACAAAGGTCAGTCTTTACCTCAAATGGTTCTTGTGCCTCTAGGATAAGATGCCTTTGAAACTTCAGACTCTGCCATTTTAACAAGTTTGCTTAGTAACCTTCAGCAAAGCCCCTGAGCACTGGACGCCCAGAGTCTCCCTGGGCCCGGGGACTCTCATAGTGAAGCTGGTGTGATTTAGTGGGGTGTCGCTCTGGGGTGGTGGTGGGGCCTATGTCCCACTTGGGGGAAGCTGAGTGTTGGTGTGTCTGCTCCAGGTCCGTGGTGCTGTCACTTTTTAAATGGCCAGTGTGCATCAATGCAGCTCCTGTGTTGAGCGTCTGCCCCCTGGTGGTCAGTGCTTGTCATAGCTACCGGTCTGTCGGTCGGATGGACATTTAGCTTTTTATATATATAGACAGAGTGTTAGCTAAGGGTCATAGCCATCCTCTGGCAGCTTGGGAGATAAGCATGAAGTCACTCCAAACTAATGGAGAGGAACCCAGACTAAACAACATGGAAAAGTATCGGGCGGCCACCAGAACCTTCTTTG